AAACAGAGAACCATGACTCTGACACCTCCCACCTCGTTGACTACCTCCCGCCTCGCTGACTGGCATATGCCCCTTCCCGGACCTGGAAGGGCAGCATTCACGCGGCATGACCGTATCTTCCCATATATGTTTCCAGAGTAAAATAGTTTCATCGCAGTCAATTAAGATCACTTTTGGTTTCCACTGAAAGGATCCTGCATGGAGGATTGCACAGAAATGGCTACAGATTTTCGAGCATCCTGCCAAGGGGAAGTTGAGTTGAGGATACCTTGAATTTTGATTGAGTTGGAGATTATTATATGTAAAGATATAGGCCTACATGATATAGAGCTGTTGCTTCCTTTTTTTCTTATCCCTCACTCAATAGCCCAGGTTGTCCCGGGACTCACTACTAGATAGCCCCAGGCTGGCCTCAAACTCACAATGATAATTATGCCTAATCCTCTGAAGGGCTGGGATTCCAGGCATAGACACCAAACCTGGCAGAGCTGGATATATTCTGTTCAGAATAACTCTTACATGGAGTCACCACCAGTCATTCCAGGTTGGGGATCTCATCCAGGACCGTCCACACTGCCCACTGTGCCAACAGAACCAGCACCGACAAGACGGTTCTAAGCTATTGGTACCGACTAATGTTCAATTCGGTGTGTACTACCGCACCTATCACAACAGGAACGGGGGCAGTGGAGAATCAAATACCGACAATGATGGAGTCTCGAGCTCGTCTGTGGGGAATCCTTTCAACCCCTCCAGTCGTCAGATGTGTAAGATTATAATGGGAGGAGTTGTAACCCACTGGAGGGTGGAAACACAGACTAACGTCAGAGGCGTACTCAACGACACAGTATCCACCCAGGTTTATGGTCTTTTTGTTGCTTTTGTTTTAGATGAGGTGTGTTTTCTTGTTTTTGTTTTCTTGTTTGTTAGCGTTTTTTCATAATGAACTGAGAGAGGAACAACCATGACTTTGGAAAACCTGAGAGCCAGCTTGAAAGTACGGTCCTAAACTGGGCCTTAGCGGTTCTCAGCGGGAGCCTAGCCGAGGCTTGCCTGATGAATGACCTTGGGCTGTGTTGTGAGTTCCAAGCTGGCTAAGGGTGGGATCCTGTCTCCAAAATGAAAAACAAAACAAAACAAAAAGACAATCCTAACTTGTTTTCTTTAAGCCTTTTCCTTTCCTTTTTTAAGACAGGGTCTCATGTACCCTAGGCTAGCCTCCACCCAAGATGTATAGCAGAGGATAGCCCTGAGCTTCTTTGTGATCCTCATGCCTCTACATCCCGGAGGCCTCCACACCTGACTGATACAATGCTGGGGACCGAACCCAGGACAGGTACTCTACCACCTGAGCCACAGCCCACCCTAAACCTCTTTCTTGCAAAGATAAAGGAGAGTTTCTGTTGGGACAGTTGGGACCTCCCAAAAGAAGGATAAAACGATTATTAAAATGCTGGGAAGGAGGCCACAGGAGCTATACCCGTTCTGCACGTTCACAACAAACCCGGGGTTCACACAACTCCAAAGCTAAATGCACAATCCCTACAAACACATCCTAGTAACACATCTCCTAAAGAGCTACCTAGACCTGGTCCTCAAAGCTGACCTACTCACTGCTCACAACAGAGCCTAGACAAGGGTCAGTCCAGACCAACAGGCTCTTTTTTGTCATGGAGGACTAACACTGGACCGTCTGAACTAGAGACTCTCCGCCAGTTTGGGGAGTCACCACTTGACTTTCCTGGAGCTCTATCTCCCATCTATCTCAATAAGATATCCTAACAAAATAAGTCCAGACAGATTGTCACTGCTTCCAGGGACACAGACTGGTGGTCGGACCTCGTGGACCTGGGAGAGAAGGCAGGAAGGTTGAGTTCACACTACAACTCAATAGCTCACCTCTGTCATGGAGACATCATAACAAGTGCCATAGTTATTTGCCTCCAAATAATCTGCCCCTTTTTTCAGAGGGCTGAGGGAACAGTAAGACAGGGTCTCAGGACGAAGACCAAGCTGGTTTCAGCTTTGGAACAATCCTGTTCCTGGCTCCTGAGTGCTAGGATTTCAGATTTGCATTGTAACCACACCTGGCTAAGATTCGTCTTTGTTTTGTTTTGTTTTGTTTTACACAGCATCATGCGTGGCCCAAGCTGGCCTCCAACTTACTGACCTTGAAATTCTGGTCCTCTGCCTCTACCACTTCAGGGTCAAGGTTCCAAGTGTGCCCCACGTACGCAGTGCTGGGGCCTGTATTTAGGGCTTCCTATCTATGAGTATATACCAACTGAGATATAGTCCCAACCCCATGTTAATTTTTTGTTTGTTTATTTTGTTTTGTTTTGTTTCGAGACAGGATTTCTCTGTGTAGCTTTGGAACCTGTCCTGAAACTAGTTCTTGTAGACCAGATTGGAGATTCGCCTGTCTCTGCCTTCCGAGGGTGTTGGGATTAAAGGCCTGCGCCACCACCGCCCACCTAATTTTTTTTTTAAAGTACATTTTTATTTTTTTTATTATTATTTATTTATTATGTATACAATATTCTTTCTGCATGTGCGCCTGCAGGCCAGAAGAGGGCACCAGACCTCATTACAGATGGTTGTGAGCCACCATGTGGTTGCCGGGAATTGAACTCAGGACCTTTGGAAGAGCAGGCAATGCTCTTAACCACTGAGCCATCTCTCCAGCCCCCCTAATTTTTAAAAATATTCATTTACTAGGAGAAGTCAGAGGACAACCATAGAGAGCTGGTTTTCTCCCTCCACCAATGTCGATTCTGGGGACTAAACTCAAGCCGCCAGGCTTGGTACCCACTGAGCCATTGCTGGTTCCCGACCCATCAGGTTTTAAGATGAACCTTCTGAGAATCTGTTTTGCCTGCTCCCTTGCAGTTTGTGGAGGTGAAGTTCAGAGGAAGCAGCTCTGTTTCCGGAGCTTTCCCCGAGGTGTGCCCGCTGCCCTCCCAGACCGCGCCTCCCCCACGCTCGCAGTTCAGAGAACACAGTCAGCACTCTAAGGAGCGCGAGCAAGGTGCAAAGACGTGACAAACATCAGCGCCACATTTTTAACTTAAAAAAACTGGGTCACAGATCTGAACAGCAGTGAAACACAGCTGCTTTCAGCTTTTTTTTCTTCCCGACAACAAGGTCTAATTATAAGCTGTGAGAACAACTAAATCAGATCTGTGCATGTGACCCCATTACCCAGCGCCGTCTTCGGCAGGTGGCTTTTACACGGACTGGACAGCGCCTAGTCAGAATGGAAACCGTCACCAATTTAACTCAACAGCGTCCCACGTCCTTAATGTTTGCAGTTCGAGATATGCAGAACACGGTAAAGGTGTCCCGCTACCGTGCCAATCGCTAAGGCAAAGTCTGGTCGCCTCTGCCTGACCTCACTCCGGGCAAGAGTTAAGGGCTTCCTTCCGAGCACCATGACTCCCAGAGGAGGTCATGTCTCCTCACTTTCTGTTCTGAGGCTTTATGAAAGTTGATGTTGCTACCGCATGTAAAGTGAGACAGAGAATACTGGCCCAAGCTCCCAGGAGCCAAAGAGCTCATTCCAAACCAGATGACCAGGAACCTTGGAACTCTGTGGGCCGTGGACGTCTATCTGCTGCAGACAGCAGCGTGAAGGAAGACTGGTCACTGAAGGGGTTCCCCTTTCTGGTTCCTGCTCCCTCCAAGCCACCCTCTTCCTCTCTCCCCACTTCCCATTTCTCCCCATTTCTGCCATTGGTGGTGCATTCTGGCCCCCACTCTCTTCCCCAGCCTATGATTACTTAGCTGTCTCTGAGCTGGGAAGCCTGTAACTTTGCAGACCAAACTTTCTTCCTGGCTGCATTCCCAGTCTTTGTAGCTGGATGACTCATGTCTGTCAGTGTGGGCAGCAGTGAGGATTCGAGCTTCCGCTGAGGATGGAATCAACAGGCTTGGGGATTACAGTGGTACCACAACACACAGTGAGGGGGGAATGATTGCGTGTCCCCCCCCAAGAGTCCCCCTTATTACAATCTAAGAAAATGAGAACTACCCCTGCTTTTCTGATGAGGAAGTTGGCCTAGGACCGCTATCATTTACCAAAGTCAAATGGCCATGGTAGAGCCATGATGTGAACCCACTTGGAGGGACCCTAGACCCTGCTCCTTGTCTCCTCCTCCAATCAGAACCTGCTTCTCTCGGAACTGTGCCTGTGGGCTCCTCTGAGCTTTGGGACAAACCATTTCATGACTAAGGATAAGAAAGTTGTCTCTGAAACAAGGCTCTGTGCTGGTGTCCTCAAGTCCCGAGGATGTTAATCAAACACTAACTGAGAGTTTGGATGACATCATTGTTGTCAGTTTCTAAAGATGTTTTTAAAAGTTTTCGTTTGTGATCTGCCTAGGCTCACCTCAAAGTAAGGAGACGGTCGTGTGCTTGTCCGTGGCGTCTTGGGGCACAGACTCTCTGTGTTCAAAGCCCCTAATTTAGGACCAACCAAGCCCATGGCAGTTGGTCCCATTCATTAATAATCTTTGATAGCCTAGAGAGCGTTTGGTGGGGGCAGGATCTCACTCCATAGACCAGGCTGGTCTCCAGCTCACAGAAATGCATCCCCTACCTCCCAAGTGCCAGGATTCGAGGCGAGCACCCCCATACCCAGTTTGATAGCTTTTTTAGTTAAATTTTTTATATATATACTGGTTTATACAAGGCCATTTTTATGTACATATAGAATTAACTTTGAGCCTATTTTTCCCTGTACCCCACTACCCTCCCCTTCCTTTCCCTCTCTTTCCCCACCTCCCCCTTCCACTCCCTCTTGGTTTCTCTGCAGATAGTTTTGCTTCAGTGCTTTCAAGTCAACGTATATGCGTGGCTTTATGAATCTATAATGTCTAAACGAGAGAAAATATACGACATTTGTCCTGACACTGACTTAGTTTACTTAATTTGATTATCTCTAGTTGCATCCATTTTTCTACATAACTGTTCTTTATAACTGAAAAGCGTTCCATCGCGTACATCCGTTTTCTTCACCCATCCCCCTGTTGCTGGGCACCCAGGCTGGCTCCGTAACTTAGCCACTGTGAGCAGAGCTGCAGAGACCAGTGATGCACAGCTGTCTCCGCGATATGCTGACTCAGACCCTGGGGTAAATATCCCGATATCGCTGGGTCACGTGGTAAGTCTATTTTCAGCACTTTGAGGAACCTCCCTGGTGACCAGTAGTGGACAAGGCTTCCCTTTTGACAAACAGAGGTCGTTGGTGTGTGCTGTTTGTTCTCAGAGGCTGCCGTTCTGGCTGGGGCGGGGGCGGGGGCGGGGGCGGGGCCGGGCCCGGGATCTCATTGTAGCTTTATCTGCATTTCTCATTGGCTCAGACGACCTCTGACAAACCATTACCTCCCTTACTCATGATAATCCTGCAAGAGGACCTTGTCGTTTCTGCTTCACGGATGCAGACTCCACGGCTCAAGGGGGTAAAGTACCGCGTCACTGATGAGAGACCGAGCTGCTTTGTAAGTCGAGCTGTTGGTTCCCAGAGATCACACCTGAACTGGATCCTGGAGGATGCCCTCGAAGGAGGAAAACATGGTCACGGGTCTCATTTATCCGTGTGACATCATCAGTCCCAGCAACAGGCAGGGGATGGAGAACAGGGGTGTAGTTGGTTTTTCACTCCTTGAGGGCATGCCACCTCACTCCCAAATAAATACAGACTCAGTCTTACTTTTGAACGCCGGGCCTCAACTTGGCCTGTTTCTAGCCAGCTTTTCTAACTTAAATTATCCCGTTGCTCTTTAGCTACGTTCTTCCTCCGGGCTTCTTGCCTTTCTTTATTCTCTACATCTCTCTTTCCTTCTTACTCCATGGCTGACTGTGGCTGGGTGGCTGGGCCCTGGCATCCTCCTCTCCTTCTCCTTTCTCCTTTCTTCCTTAGATTTCTCCTCCTATTTATTCTCTCTGCCCACCAGCCCTGCCTATCCTTTCTCCTGCCTTGTTATTGGCCATTCAGCTCTTTAGTAGACCAATCAGGTGTCTTAGGCAGGCAAAGTAGTACAGCCTCACAGAGTTAAACAAATGCAACATAAAAGAATGCAGCCCATCTTTGCATCATTAAGCCAATATTCCACAGCGTAAACAGATATAATACACCATAAAGTAATGTTCTATAACACAGGGCCTGCTTCCACCTAATTCAACAACAATATTTTTCCTTTTTTATTATGAATTGATTAATTATTTGTTTTTCCCAGCCTGGTTACACGATTACAGTTCCCCTCCCTCCTCTCCTCCCAGGCTCTCCCCTTTCCCATCCACGACTTCTTTCTCATCAGAAAAATGCTTATCAGTCAGTCATGGCATTTCAAGTTGTAGTGAGTCTAGACCTGGCCTCTGTTAAGGCTGGAGAAGGTGACCCAGTAATAGAAAAGGGTCCCAGAGGAGGCAACAGAACCAGAGACAGCTGCGGCTCCCTCTCAACAGCAACTTTCTTAAGAGAAACTGAAATCTTTCTAAAGCGTTCGACTCAGCTTTCATAGAAACGATAGCTCAGCCTCTTTTTATTCGTATTTTCCAGTCGGATGCTATTTTAATTAATCAATTTAATTAATCTGTGTGGGCCTGGAAAACAGTGGTTTGTTAATCAACGCCATTGGCTCCTGGTGAGCACACAACTCGGCCCCAAGCTAACTTCCCGGTGCCTCATCTGCAAAATGATGTTGTTGTATGGATACAGGGACTATAATTACAGCATGTTCAGGGTTGTTTTCCAGAAGGCATTGGACCATTCAAAGAAACTAAGCTTCCCTGTTATACTAGTGAAGGTTCTCTGGAGGAACAGAATGTATAGAATGAATATATATATATGTATATACATATATACACATATGAGATTTATAGAATGAACACACACACACACTCATATATCAGAATGGCTCACAGGCTGTGATCTAGCCAGTCCAATAGTGGCTATCTGCCAGTGGAAGTTTCAAGAATCTAGTATTTCTTCAGGTCATGAGTCTCAGCGGGTCTTCAGTGTATGCTAGAGTCCCAGAGAAGTAGACTTCAATGCCAGTGAAGGAATGGACTTGCCAGGGAGAATGAGGGCAAGTCAGCAAAGAGAGCAAGCTTCCTTCTTCTACATCCTTTATATAGGTGACCAACAGAAGGTGTGGCCCGTTTTCACGGTGGATCTTCCCGCAGCCATAACACCTGTATTATGGGGGGAGGGGGCTCACAGTTTCCAAGCTATTTAGAGGTGGGAACAGCTCCCTCCGTGGCAGTGGGGCCAGAATCGGTGTCTGTTTACGGGCTGCAGGGACTGTAGACAGCGAAGAGACTTGAGCAGAGCCTTCAGAGGATGGCCCAGTGTCCACTCCTGCCACTTCTTCAAGGCTCCACAGCATTCAAAACACCACCCAAGCTGGGGCCTGAGCACTCAGGATACTGTGTGGGGCAGCTGTGGAACGCAGGACCTGAAAACCAGGTGCCTGCGTTTAAACCCCAAATCTATATCTGACCTGGGTGACCTCGAATGAGAGCTGAACTTCTCCTTGCTTCATCTTTTTCCTCTCTGAGACAGAAACAAGTCATCTCCAAGGTAGGTGTGAGAATTATGGCGTCCAGCCAGGCAGTGGTGGCGCACGCCTTTAATCCAGCACTCGGGAGGCAGAGGCAGGCGGATCTCTGTGAGTTCGAGGTCAGCCTGGTCTACAAGAGCGAGTTCCAGGACAGACTCCAAAGCTACAGAGAAACCCTGTTTTGAAAGACAAATAAATAAATAAATAAATAAATAAATAAATAAATTTCGGCATCCTCAGAATAGCGGCTGGGACACGTTCAGCCCTCTGGTCATCTACTGTGTCTCTGCTGTGTGGTCACTGACTCTTCAGCTGTGACCTGCAAGACAGAGCTGCCTTTCTGTTCTGTACCACAGGGTGGCAAAGCGATTGACCCAATGGCACAAATGGTGACCAAACAAAGCAGCCACAGGCCATACCGCCAAAGACTTTGCCTAGAAATGACACCAACCCAATTCAAACAAGCTAGACAGGCAATATTTATTACTGCTCATGTTTTAAAATCTAGGAGGCATATTTTACTTCCGGTTACCAAAACCAGAAACTCAAACAGATTAAGGGAGACTGGTTTCTCTCAGCATCTCCAGTGTTTCCCGTGCCAAGGAAGAGGAGAAAGAATGCTGAGCGGGCAAACACGACAAATGGTCTAAACGTCACAGTTGATGGTCAAGCCCTCAGTCCTAACTGCTCCAAAAAGTAGTTGCAATCAGACTTTAAAGAGAAGCACCTTAGCCCTGGCCAGATGGACAGACACGTTGTCCTGACAACCTGGGTTCAGTCCCCAGAACCCATGGCAGAAGGAGAGAATCAACCCCGATAGTAGTTCTCTGATTTTTACGCACGCGCTGTGGTAGACACACTCACCAGCACCCACCCACATAGAGCGCCCATCGTCGTCATGGTTACTCATCATCCTCGTAAACCACAATCTTTCCAAACAATTATTTGACATCTCAGTGATCCCCCCCAGGACACTTCTTCCTTAAAACCAGTAGAGGGCCTTTTGTGTCTGGAGAGGGAACCCAAGCCTCAGAGCAAAGCATCTATCTACCCCTGAGCCACACTCCATCCCCTTTGAGTTTCTAGCAAAGGTATTTCTCGTTTTCTTTACTCCACTGTGGAAATGAAGAAAGAAACAGCAAGGTAAATTTTTCACTCTGCAAATCAACTTCAAGATTTTTTTTTTAAATAAAAAAAAAAGATTTTTCTTTTTCTTTTTTTTTTTTTTTGGCTTTGAGTGGGAATACCAAGTAGGTTACGTCAATACGGCAGTATATGGGATATAAAGGAAATTATTACAGTTGCTGTTTGCCGACCCCAGGTCTGTAGAGGAGCGTGGTTACATAGCTGGTCAGGTTTCCTGTCTCTGATCGTTGGACTCACGGAAGAAGTGGAGAGGAGGTGCTGGAGAGATGGCTTAGAGGTTAAGAGCACTGGCTGCTCTTCCAAAGGTCCTGAGTTCAATTCTCAGCAACCACATGGTGGCTCACAGTGAGATCTGGTGCCCTCTTCTGATGTACAGACAGAACACTGTAAATAAATAAATCTTAAAAAAAAAAAAAAGAAGTGGAGAGGGAAGAGGAGAGAGAGAGAGAGAGAGAGAGAGAGAGAGAGAGAGAGAGAAGTGTTTCATCCACTCACAGAATCAAAAATTCTTCCTGAGTGAGTCGGCAATGGCCGGGAGTGTGATTCACATTTCTTAGATGCAAAGGAACAGTGGCAGCTGCCCAGCTCGCCACGCTGAGGTACCACCTCAGGTGTGGGCAGCAAGGAGAAGCCTCACCTCCCAGCATCCCTTCCGTGCTCTCATCGTCGCAGGTGTGATCCCTGCTGCCAGGTGTGCTTCAGCCAGCCGTGGGTGAAGATGGGGAGCAGCAGGCGACAAGATGTATGCGACCTGTTCCAGGGGTCAGGCTGGCCTGTCGGGCCCAGCAGCTCTCATCTGTCTCTCCCACACTTCCGTCTTGCATCTTAAAAATTGATGTGTTTTATTACTGTGTGTGTGAGTGACGAGGGAGCCTTCCCAGGCCACAGCAGGCGCGTGGGATTGAAGGGAGAACTTGGTGAAGCTGGTTCTCCTTCCACCTTTCAAGAGTGTTGAGGACCAAATTCAGATTTTCAGGATTGCATGGCACGCACCTTTACCCGCTTAGCCATCTAGCTGGCCCCACGCTGCTATTTTATTATGAAGTTTTCAATCAACAAAATTTGAAAGCATTGCAAAGAAATACTTCTCACCAATTTTCAGTACTTACCAGGACGACCACACAGCCGCATCTACTTTATCCAGGGAGACACTTAAAGCCAATCCCAGCCCTCGCATTATAAATGTCCCTTGACATTTCACATGCAGATATTCCTACATAATCACAGCCAATAAAATACTTAATAAAGGTAGCAATTCCTCCAGCCCATCAATTTCCATCTTTTGCTTCCTGATATCTAAAGAAATCCCTTTTATGACCTTTTTGTTAAAATCGAGGTCTGAATGAGGGTTCTTGCTTGTATTTTATAATTATGTCTTTTGAATTTCATTTTTATTTATTTATCGTGGGTGGGTGCGGGCTTGTGTGCTGAAAGTGTGTGTGTGTGTGTGTGTGTGTGTGTGTGTGTGTGTGTGTGTTGAAAGTGTGTGTATACATGAGCCACGTGTGATCATGGAGGTCAGAGGACGAAGTGTGAAATGGGGTCTCTCCTTCCACCTCGATGTGGGTTAAGGCGACTGAACTCAGGCTAGGCGTGTGTGGCAAGCACCTTTTCCTGATGAACCATCGTGCCAATCCTGTCTTTTGACAGTTTTTCCCCGATCCCATTACATATCTTTTTGCTTATGTGTTTCTTCTTAGGACGCTGACTTGCTGATGAAGCTAGTTCAGCTGTTTCACCGACCACCCCAGACTCTGAGTTTGTCCGTTTGTGCCCTTGAGCAGTCGCTTCCCCGCAACAGCACGTGTCTCCATGGCAGCGCACTCTCCAGCGCTTTCTGGCTTTACTCTGTACCGTATGCAAGGCTGGCCAGAAGGAAAGACAGACAAGAGAATGAGTAATTCTCCAATGGCGCTGGCTGTGTTTGGGAAGAGGACTACAGAGGGGAAATCTCTCATCCACCAAAGCAGAGAGCCTGTTGTGGGTTTCTAGGCTGGGGTAGTCAGAGC